GTCCTGGTTTAGTCCTGGTTCAGTCCTGTTTTAGTCCTTCTTGTCTTGTCTTTTCTCTCTTCTTAAGTTAAATCTTGATTTCTTGTTTATTTGTTTTTCTTGATTTTCTGTTTATTTGTTTTTCTTGATTTCGTGTTTATTTTTTATTTCTTTTTTCTTTTTCTTGATTTCTTGTGTTATTTTTTTTTCTTGATTTCGTGTTTATTCTTTTTTTCTTTTTCTGATTTCGTGTGTTTATTTGTTTTTCTTTTTTTCTTGATTTCGTGTTCTTTTCTGTTTATTTCTTTTTTTTTTTGTTTTTCTTGATTTCTTTTTCTTGATTTCGTGTTTTTGTGTTTATTTTCCTTTTTTTTCTTGATTTCTTTTTCTTGATTTTCTTTTTTGTGATTTCGTGTTTATTTCTTTTTCTTGATTTCTGTTTATTTTTTCTTGTTTATTTCTTTTTCTCGTGTTTATTTCGTGTTTATTTTTCTTGATTTTGTGTTTATTTCTTTTTCTTGATTTCTTGTTTATTTCTTTTTCTTGATTTTTTGTTTATTTCTTTTTCTTGATTTCCTGTTTATTTTTCTTGATTTCGTGTTTATTTGTTTTTCTTGATTTCGTGTTTATTTGTTTTTCTTGATTTCGTGTTTATTTCTTTTTCTTGATTTCGTGTCCTGTCGTGTTCAGTGGGTCTACAACATCCTGGAGAAGAAGGCCGAGTCTGACAGGATCCTGTTTGAAGATCCAGACCCAAACACGGGCTTCGTCCTCCTGCCCGACTTCAAATGGAACCAGAAACAGGTCAGAGACTCACCAGGGACTAACTAGTACTCAGACGGTTTAGACCTGGTTTAGACCTGGTTTTCCTCTGTTCCAGGTGGATGACTTGTACCTGATCGCGATCTCTCACCGTCGGGACGTCAAGAGTCTGAGGGACTTGACTCCGGAGCATCTGCCTCTGCTCCAGAACATCCTCCACAAGGGACAGGTGAGACTGACCGCCCACTCGAACCTTACAGTACGAGGCTCCTCCCACTCTGCCCCCTCCAGCAGAGACGGTACGAGGCTCCTCCCACTCTGCCCCTCCAGCAGAGACAGTACGAGGCTCCTCCCACACAGCCCCCTCCAGCAGAGACAGTACAGCTCCTCCACTTCTGCCCTCTCAGCAGAGACAGTACGAGGCTCCTCCCACTCTGCCCCTCCAGCAGAGACAGTACGAGCTCCTCCCACTCTGCCCCTCCAGCAGAGAAGTACGAGCTCCTCCCAGCCCCCTCAGCAGAGAGTACGAGGCTCCTCCACTCGTCCCCTCCAGCAGAGACAGTACGAGGCTCCTCCCACTCTGTCCCCTCCAGCAGAGACAGTACGAGGCTCCTCCCACACAGCCCCCTCCAGCAGAGACAGTACGAGGCTCCTCCCACTCTGCCCCCTCCAGCAGAGACAGTACGAGGCTCCTCCCACTCTGCCCCTCCAGCAGAGACAGTACGAGGCTCCTCCCACTCTGCCCCCTCCAGCAGAGACAGTACGAGGCTCCTCCCACACAGCCCCTCCAGCAGAGACAGTACGAGGCTCCTCCCACTCTGCCCCCTCCAGCAGAGACCTGGAGGGGCGCGAGTATCGACCGAACACGTGTGTCGAATCGTGAGACCGGTATCGAACAATTCAGTATTATATCGAATATCGTTGCATATCGTTCTGGGATAGACCTGGTTCAGTCCTGGTTTAGACCTGGTTCAGTCCTGGTTTAGACCTGATTCAGTCGTAGTTTAGATCTGGCTTAGTTTTGACTACATTTGGACCTGGTTTAGTCCTAGTTAAGTCATGGTTAAGTTCTGGTTTAGACCTGGTTTAGTTCTAGACTAAACCTGGTTTAGACCTGGTTTAGTCCTTGTTTAGTCCTGGGTTAGTCCTGGTTTAGTTCTGGTTTCTGGTTTTGGTTTAGTCCTGGTTTAGTCCTGGTTTAGTCCGGTTTAGTCCTGGTTTAGTCCCTGGTTTTAGCCTGGTCTGGTTTAGTCCTGGTTTAGTCCTGGAGTCCTGGTTTGTCCAGGACCTGGTCCGGTCTCGGTTCGGGGTTCTGGTTTAGTCCTGGTCTGGTCCTGATCTCGTCTGTGGTTTGTCCAGGACCTGGTCCGGTCTCGGTTCGGGGTTCTGGTTTAGTCCTGGTCTGGTCCTGATCTCGTGTGTGGTTTGTCCAGGACCTGGTCCGGTCTCGGTTCGGGGTTCTGGTTTAGACCTGGTTTAGTCCTGATCTCGTCTGTGGTTTGTCCAGGACCTGGTCCGGTCTCGGTTCGGGGTTCTGGTTTAGACCTGGTCTGGTCCTGATCTCGTGTGTGGTTTGTCCAGGACCTGGTCCGGTCTCGGTTCGGGGTTCTGGTTTAGACCTGGTTTAGTCCTGATCTCGTGTGTGGTTTGTCCAGGACCTGGTCCGGTCTCGGTTCGGGGTTCTGGTTTAGACCTGGTTTAGTCCTGTCTGGTTGGTCCAGGACCTGGTCCGGTCGGTTCGGGGTTCTGGTTTAGACCTGGTCTTTAGTCCTGATCTCGTGTGGTTTGTCCAGGACCTGGTCCGGTCTCGGTTCGGGGTTCTGGTTTAGTTCCTGGTCTGGTCCTGATCTCGTCTGTGTGGTTTGTCCAGGACCTGGTCCGGTCTCGGTTCGGGGTTCTGGTTTAGACCTGGTTTAGTCCTGATCTCGTCTGTGGTTTGTCCAGGACCTGGTCCGGTCTCGGTTCGGGGTTCTGGTTTAGTCCTGGTCTGGTCCTGATCTCGTCTGTGGTTTGTCCAGGACCTGGTCCGGTCTCGGTTCGGGGTTCTGGTTTAGACCTGGTTTAGTCCTGATCTCGTCTGTGGTTTGTCCAGGACCTGGTCCGGTCTCGGTTCGGGGTTCTGGTTTAGACCTGGTTCTAGTCCTGATCTCGTCTGTGGTTTGTCCAGGACCTGGTCCGGTCTCGGTTCGGGGTTCTGGTTTAGTCCTGGTCTGGTCCTGATCTCGTGTGTGGTTTGTCCAGGACCTGGTCCGGTCTCGGTTCGGGGTTCTGGTTTAGTCCTGGTTTAGACCTGGTTTGGTCCTGATCTCGTGTGTGGTTTGTCCAGGACCTGGTCCGGTCTCGGTTCGGGGTTCTGGTTTAGACCTGGTTTAGTCCTGGTCTGGTCCTGATCTCGTCTGTGGTTTGTCCAGGACCTGGTCCGGTCTCGGTTCGGGGTTCTGGTTTAGTCCTGGTTTCTGGTTTAGTCCTGGTTTAGTCCTGGTTTGGTCCTGATCTCGTGTGTGGTTTGTCCAGGACCTGGTCCGGTCTCGGTTCGGGGTTCTGGTTTAGTCCTGGTCTAGTCCT